CCTGAACTCCTGAACTCGGGACCTCGGCTTTGGGCTCAGCGCCGAGGGCTCTGTCTGTCTGCTTCGGATGTCGGGTTCAGAGGATCTAGGATTTGCAGACCCCAAACTTTGAACCCTATTATCCCAAGAACATCCCCAAAAGACTCAAACCCAAACCCTGAAATCCCCAAGTCCTAAACCCTAAACCCTCTCTGCGGAGAGACTCAATGGGAGGGTTGGGTTTAATGCGAGTAAAAAAACCTTCAGAGCCCTAAAGCCCTAAACCCTCAAGGCCCGAAGCCCTAAGCCCTACGCCCCTAAAACCCCAAACCCCTCAATGGCCTAAACCCCTAAACTTTGCTAATCAGGCGCTTCGGAGGCTGGTTCAGCGAATGGCGGAGCTTTCGGGGCCGCTGGAGGCGCTTGCCCAGAGTTCACCCGGACTCCAACGGTACAGGTTTGAGGTTTTAGGTTGTTTTTTTAAGGTTCTTGAGGTTTAAGTTAATGGTTTAGGGCTTGGGATATCGGGCAACCGTTTATTCGGGACTATTAGGGGAAAAACTTGCAGTGCTTCAGGGGTTGAATCATAGTATGATTGAGGCCGCCAGGTTATGCTGTCTTAGAGGGTTTGGGGAGTATCATCTGCATGTGGACCTGGAGCCGCAAGGTCTACAAACCCCCAACCTGAGGCGCCAAACCTTGAACCCTGAGCCTCAAGCCGAGAATCCCAGCCTCTAAGGTGTGCATCGCAAAGCGGTGCTAGTATCTTCAAGAGCCGGAGGAACCTTAGCACAGGTCGCAGTCTTTGGACTTGTTTTGTTATGGAGATCGCTGGGAAAGAGGCACTCCGGAATTTCCGAATCTCTCCCTACCGTAATCCCCAGAGGCTAAAGATATCTTGTCTTCATATAGCCCCAAGGACGTCCTGTTCGAATTTTCTCAGATCCCTGGTCTCTGCAGGTGACTCTGCCAACTGCAGTCATGGAGGTCGGGGCCCTTTTGGTGTCCTTGGATGTCCTTGGTGTAGGAGTGTAGAGGTTAGTAGAGGTTCAGCTTTAGAGTTGCGGTAGAGTTCCGGGCTTCTTGTTTGTTGAAGTTCATGGCAAGAGGGTTCAGGGCTTGGGGTCTCGGACCCGAAGACCGGATGGGGAGTTGCACGAGCTGTGCATGTTATGGGTAGTCATAAGTGGGGTATAGGCAGGGTAACCATATTTATAGCCCATATTAGGGGGCTTATAACGCCACTTAATGGGGGGCGGGGAGTTGGGTGCCCGTGTGTCGCAGCGCAGCTGATCTCAGCGGTAGTGATGTATGCAGCTCTGCACGCGCCAGGTGGTGCAGCTAGTAACAGCTAGTCGTACGCAGCACATGTGCCCATGTATTAGGCTGCAGACTTGCGGAACCCTGCAATGATGGATGATGATCTTGGAAACCCGACACCTGATTTCCAAAGCCCAGACAGCCGCAAGAAACCCCTCAACTTTGAGTCTTGTTTCAGCCCGAAAGCCAAGCCAATGCTCCCGAAACCCTAAACTCCTAAACCCTAAGCCCTGAAACATCTTCAGAACCTTGCCTTTGTTAGCACCTTTGACCAGGCTTTGCCCTCGATGATCGAGCTCCGGCTGCGGCTCACCGTCAGGCTCAGTGTCTGGATAAGGACACCTCACACTTTTTGGGAGAGTAGTTTACCCCCCAGTAGAACTGAACGTGTACGCGCTTGTGGGCTTCTGAACCGAGCAAACTCACTAGAGGATTATTATGGATTATTATTGTCTAAGGGTTTAGGAGTTTCAGGAGTTGGGGTGACTGCACTTGGTGCGCATGGGTTCAGGGTTCAGGGTTGCACGGTGGCTTTCGGACTTTGAGAAATGTCTTGTTATATTTCCTGTTTGCAGGTATTCTCGGACCAACAGGAATCCTTACAGGATGCGGAACTCTTTCTTAAACCCTAAAGCCTGAACTTCCATTTCCATAGTTGAGGAAACGCTACACCCCAAGCCGTGCCCAGAGTCTCACAGCGCCAACGACTCGCAAACCTATCCCCAGGCCCCCCAGGCCCCCCCCCCCCCCTGCATGCAACGAAGCCCAAGCTCCAAAGCCCAGCACTCCAATAAACCCTCAAACCTACCTGGACCCCAAAAGTATGTAGCATAATAGCCTTTATCGGTATTGGGCCAGTATTTTACCCACTTTGGGGGGTTTAGGTAGTTTAGGTACATGCTAAGAAGCCCAACACTCCAAACTTTCGCCAAGCCCTAGCCTCTACATCGTGAGGAGGACCGCAGACAAGCATAGCCTTAAATCGTACATGCATTAATGTCCCACGACCTATGAAGCCCTGAACCCGAGGATCCTAATGCCTTAATTACAGAACCGGCAAGACCCTATGGTATGTTCGAAAAGTTGGGGCGTGGAACAGGGATAGTTAGTTCAGGGAAACTCACTACGGTGTTTCTCAGCATGAGAGTATACCGCAAAAGCCCAAAAGTTGAAAACCCCAAAGCCTCGGTCCTTAAGAGTAATGTATCGGGAATCCCAGCACTATTTGGCCTTAATCCGGCTTCCAACTTTATGGGGTTTACTGTATAGGTTTTCGCTAGAACCCTGAAGCCCTAAAGCCATCTAACGCCCAAAACCTGGGAACCCTAAGCTCCTAAACCCCCGAACCTTCTCACAACCCTAAACCCCATAAATCCCTAAACCCCTAAACCCCTAAACCCTTAAACCTCTAAACCCCTAAACCCCTAAACCCCTAAATTTACCCTAAACCGCACGCGCCCACAGGTTTCGGGCCGAGCGCTGGGTGGCGCAGCCTCTCGGCAGCCCCACGCGCCACGGCTGCAACTTCCAAAGAGTCCTTGGATTCGGGGTCTTAGGAAGTAGTTTAGGATTTAGAGGAGGGTGTTCAAGGCGTCGTTCTTTTTGGGATTCGGCTTGAAGCTTTAAGGCTTTGGCCTGCCAAGCGCTTCAGGTGTCCATGTGAACCCTGGACCCTGAACGTTCCTTCGTTTTTGCAACGGGCTCCCACTATGTTCTTGGGCGTGTTTTGTGTGCAGGGTTGCCGTGCTAGAACTAGAACCACGGCGTGTTTTACAGTCTGACCGAGTCTGATCCCGAAGATGGAGACTCTGAAGGATGTTAGCACACGCCACCCCCACTCGTGGAGGTGGTCTGCGTTCAGAAAGTCAGGTCAGACAAGCATTCAAACCTTAATACAGGGGCCTTAACAATTACTTATACTATTTTGGGGGTTCCTTATCACCCCAGAACCCTATTCTAATTCTTCAGGCCCCTACATTAAACAAACCGTTTGCCCAAGACCTGGTCTGCCTCTCCCAGCTGCTGCCGAGGTATGTGGGAACAACGCAGGCCTGGGGGACCTGAACCCTCGACCTGAATCCCTCCTAGGCCCTCCCTGGACCCCAAGTAGACCTACCTTTTTAGGGTTCCCTAATATGGTTTCTTTATATAAGCCCTTGAAGAGGTAGGTTATTTCGGGTTCCCTTATCTGTTTTTTTTATAAGTCCTTAAAAGGTAAGGTATCTGAGGTTAAGGTAGACCCGAAGCCCAGAGTCTTAAGAGAATTTCTGCCGGCAGGCTGGGCTGCACCAGGCCGTCAGCTCTTGGAGGCCAAAACTGCCGGGAGTCGGGGCACTGGGCCCAAACGGAAGCCCTAAACCCGACGCCGCCCTAAACCCTGAACCCTGAACCCTTCAAAGGCCTGCCACAAAGTGGGTTCTAATCAACCTACTGGGTGAGAGGAAAAAGGCGTTAAAAAAAGAGCCCCTGAACCCTAAGCCCTTTCGGTTGACGATTTTGGGTTTAGTTGAGGCTGAAAGACTTTAGGCTGGTTTAGGGTGGGGACCTTTGCTTGGGGTTTTGGGCATCAGGCGAGCGGCTGCGAAGGAATCAGATCGGAAGAAGTCCAACCTGGTAGCAGTGCAGGAAACCTTTAACCTTGTTGGGGTGCTTTAATTCCATATTATAATCCCTGGACAAGTAGGCTAACTACTGTACCCAACAAGGACTCGTTACAAACAAACACGCGTCCGCGCACAGACAACAAACCGACGACAGCAGACCGTGAACCCTCGAGCCAAAGGCAGAAATATATTACTATTACCATTGTTTTTATTGTTTAGCATTATTACCACCATTATTACTACCAGCGTTGCTATAACCATTGTTATGATACAAGATGCCAAAGTTCCACATGAACCTTGACCATGCCACTGCGATATACATATATGCACGTATGTATGTGTAGGTGTGTTTGTGTCTTTGTACATCTACGCACATGCAGGCAAATGTAGAAATCTCTATCCTTGCATTATTTGGAGCGGTGGACCATTGCAGATGATCACCCTGAACTCGCCATGCTGCATTGGCATAGCTGCCCCATGCGCTCCTGCGCTCGCGGCCATTTGCAAAGCCAAAGCCCCCATCGTTTGAAGATTTCTGTGGCACCAGCATTTCGACGGCACGATCGAATCACAGGGAATAGCAACACTACTTCACCTCACCACTCGTGGCAAGAAGAAACAGAACGCTAAGAAGTCGGTGGTACCGCTCCTACCATACTGAGACTGGATAAGACAAACCACACATACAGCGATCGCCAGCATCCTAAGAGTTGCTACTGAATCCCGCCAAAAGTAGTGTCTTTAGTTCATGGTAGCGATGGTCAAAAACGTCATCGTCGCACCCAGGATTCAGAAAAAAGAACAAGCCCCTATCCAAGAGCAGCAGTAGCAGCGCACCTTCACAAGTAAGTGCAAGCAGAGTTCAGACTTTCGCATCCCGAGGCGCCCATGCCAGTTGAAGCCTTGCACCTCGAAATCTCCGCAATGGTCCCAACCTTTCAACCCTTCCCCTCTCCCCCCCCCAAAGCCCTGCGACCTTCAAACCAGAGGTCTGCGTCAACCAGAAGTCAAACTACCTAAACTCCTTCCAGAAGTAGGTAAAATACTGGCTCAATACCCTTCATACTTTCGGGGTCCAGTAGGGTGGCCTTTTCGGCGATGGCCCTGCGATGGCTTGCGGCCGCCGCCCTCCCTGCTGCCGCCGCGGCCGCTGCATCCTGCGCGGCCGAGGGCGGCAACCAGACGGTGCCGATTGGGTTATCACGACCACACACCTAAACTTCAGATCCGAAAAGCTGCAGCAGTAAAGCCCAACGCTGGAGACTAGACTTGACTATGCATCGGGCGATGATGTTGCAACTCCCCTCCCCTCCGAGAAATTTCACTTCACCGGGCGTAACTTTCGGATTCAAGGCAGAAGAACCGGACACTTCACAGCCCAGGATCGAAACTTCGGAGCTTAAGATGAGTTCTTAAGCAACTACAGCAGGACACAGATTTCCTAAATCAGGACTTCGGATGAAATTCTTAGTTAGTTGAGCCTTTGAATTCTAGGCGTTGAAATTATGACAAGTTCTTAGCTGCTGAGGGCTTCGGCTTCTAATTGCTTAGACGGGCTGCCTGCACAGGTGAACATCACCTTCTTCAGCAGGCAGAACAAGAAGACTCCTCGTTGGCATTGGTGGCAGATTTGCTGCTTACGATATTGGTGCTACTTTCGGTCTGAGATTTTCGGGTCTGGTGACACTTTCGGGTCTAGTGACACAGGACTCTCCGAATCTACAATCCCGGCTTGGAGCCCCATTCCAGTCTTTGTTGTCTTCAGGTGTGTGCGCTCCTGAGAAGTCAGGCAAGTTGCTTCACATGAAGGAAGCTTTCATGTTGTGTTAATGATTTGCCCACCGAGGACACTTGAATGACGAGAACGTAAAGGTGAAACTTGAATCCAGCTAAGGTAGTCCACAGTTTGCTTTGAGAGCATGCTCGTTAGGTGACATCGCAGCCCTAAACCCTAAACCTAGCTCCTCACCTCCCTCTGTCTATGGTACAGAAGGAAGCGGCAAACTCTGCATCAACTCTCTGAAGTTCAGGACATCCAGGCAGCTGGCTGGCTCGGTAGTTCACGGAACTCACGGCTTTTTGTAGTGTCGGCTTAGGTGTCGAGGAGGTTTGGGAGCTTGCAGCAGTCTTGGGGGATGCGTGCTTTAAGGCTGTTGTGAGGTGTACGTAAGGCTTTCCGGGGTTTGTAGGGCTTTCAGGCATTGTGAGGGGTTCACGTGTCGAGGCTCTCAGTTCTGCTGGGAGATGACAGTTTAAGGCTTCAGGCTTCAGTTAAGGGTGTAGGGGCTGGGATGTTGGTTGAGGAACCGCAAACTCACTCATCTCAAACCCTTTACTATGAAAACCTTAACATCAAACCCAATCAACCCCTCTAAAGCCCACCCCAACCCGTTAGAACCCTTATAGGGCCCCGAAAAACCAATGTGTTGAATCCTATAAAAGCCCTTATGGCATTCAACTTTTACGAAATCTTCATCAAAGCTGCTGAACGCCCAGTCATAAAAGAAAAGGAAAAAGAAGAGAAACCTAAACCCCTAAACCCTAAACCCTCAAACCCCTAAACCCTAAACTCCTAAACCCCCAAACCCCTAAACCCCTAGACTCCTAAACCCCCAAACCCCTAAACCCCTAAGCCCCTAAACCCCTAATAACCTAAGCCGCTGAACCCCTGAACCCCTAAACCCCTTTCAGAAGCTGTCGCCTCTGGAGGTCTTCGAGAAGGACGCCTGGGCCTCTCCCGAGCTCCTCAAGGAGCCGATGGTCGTCCCTTTGGCGGGTTTAGGGCTTAGGGGTTTCAGAGTTCAGGGGTTTAGGGCCTTGGGGTTTAGGGGTTTCAGAGTTTAGGGGTTCAGGGCTTAGGGTTTAGGGTTTTGGGGTTTAGGGGTTTAGGGTTTGGTGCATGTCAGGGTTAGGGTTTAGGGGCTCCTTTTTTGGGGCGGTGATTTAGGATTTCTTCAATTGTTATTGAGCTGTCCGTTTTTTTCAGGGGTCGGAGTACTTGAGTTGGAGAGGATCCTTGCGGTTTAGGGTTTGGGATTCGGGTGTTTTGGCTATTTGCAGTTTGGGGTTTGGGGCTCAGGGTTTTCGGTATAAGGTTCAATCGCATCAGGGTTTCAGGGGGGCCAGAAACGGCCCTTGCCTCCAAACAAAGCACTCGGTATCATCCGCGCAGCTTTGCATGTATATTCTTATTGCCAGTAGAATGGTTTCACTGTTGCTTTTGCCATGAGCATTGTATCAGTGCTGGCAGTATTCGCCGCGTGCTTGAAGGTGTTGTAAAGCCCGACAAGGCTAAAGCCGTAGCATCCGAAAGTCACCGCTTAGGTCCTGCGCTCTGCAGAACTCCGCAGCACAAGCCAGGCCTGCCTCCGTTCGAGTTTGGGTTCAGCGCAGGCTCGGGGATTGTCCGGGAGTGACAGGGACCGCGATTACTGGGTTATTGTTAATTAGGGATTAAAATAAGTTACCATAGCGAACAAACCATATTATTTATTATAGATCCCGATTATGGTAACTTACATCAACTCCCTTAACAATTAACAAGAAGCCAGCGTCCGGACAGTGAGCCCAAGCCCGATCTGAGTTCGTGAAGCTAGGCTCTTGGAGGCCTTCCCGGCAGGTTCCAGTAGTCTCAGTAGTTCTCAAACGCATCTAATCGATCGTTTCTCCGGTTGGAACGTGATCTCTAAGACAGATCTACGCCTCTACCGAGGTTACAGCCAGGAAGCCAGATGTCCTGATTGCGTTATGCTAGCTGCAACTTTACTTAGGGCCTACTTGCCGAGTCCTGTGAGCTTCAAAGCGTGCCGCAGAGCTGCAGAGGTGGTCGCCGCACAGCTCCGGACCGTCTTAGACGAGGCCGTGAACCCAAGACTGGGGCTTTAGTCGGTCGAGGTTGCTTCCTTCTGACAGACTCCCAACACGGTTTAACAGGGTTTAATGATGTTTGTAAAGTTTAGGAGGGAGCCGCAAAGCCGCCTCCTCCCCCTGAGCCCTTGACCCTAAAGCCTGAGCCCCTAAACCCCTAAACCCTAAACCCCGAAACTCCTAAACTCATGAACCCTAAGCCCCTAAACCCCTAAACCCCTGCACCCCTAAACCCTTGCACCCCTTAACCCCAAGCCCCTAAGCCCCTAAACCCCTAAGCCCCCGAACCTCTAACCCCCTTAAAACGCCTAAGCCCCTAAACCCCAAGCCCCCTTAAGCGCCGGCAAGGTCGCCCTGGAGCCGGGTGAGCTGGTGGACATGCTCGAGGAGAACTTCAAGAAGGCCCGCTGACTCTGCCGAGCAAGCCTCCCACAATGGCGGAAGCATAAGGCCCCTGCAAGACTGTAGCTAGGATGCCCAGTAGTACCCTTATTCGCTTTTTGTAGTCCTAGGTTCCTTATAAAGTTACCCAATACCAAAAAGAGAGGCCTTTTTATTCTTAGGTTACTGGATCCTAGGTAGGGTTTGTGGCCGGCTTTTTGGTGCTTATTTTTAGTCTTGTTGCTGGGTGTTCAGGTGTATCCAGCATGTTTAAGAGCATTGTTGGTTGGGGGGTTTGGGCTTGAGGCCTCGAGCCAGTGCCAATACGGCTCCTACTACCACATGACGTCGTCGTCATCGTGACAACAAGATGGATAGCGAGTTGCTGAACGTGCAGCTTAATATGAGCGGTATCATTGCAAAGGTATCAGTAAGCATACTTCTTACAGCCATACATCTATCAGATTACTAATCCGAATATTCACCCCAAAACTCTGAAAGCGAAACCCCGATTCGGGGCGAAGCCGCGAGTTCCCAGTTCTTCGACCCCGAAACCGAGCAGCTTTACACCGGGCGCAAGCGGCAGAAAACGCACCTTGGCCCAGCATTTCGAAGTCTTTTGCGAGATTTCTGAGGAGTTTGGGGCTAGGGTTTGGGGTTCCGCGCTCTTCGCTGGGTTTCTTAGGTGAGGCTATGGACTTTTGAACCTTCATTGCCTCAGGAAGCCCATAATGTGGATGCTGAAAGTCATCCTCCAGCCCTTGATGGAAGAGGCCGGCGGCGAGCGAGGGAAGTGAAGCTAACACTCATGGCAACAAGAGGCCCGAAGAATCAGACAAAATGCAGAACGAAGCCGAAGTGAGGATCTTTTTCCCTATGCATTGGGTCCGCATGTTCTGCCCGAAGTCCCTGCTCGTCAGATCCTGAGTGCAGGCCTCCATACCCTGAGCCCCAGTTCGATCCCCGATGCTGAAGCTCCCAAACTCGAAATCCGGTCTAAACTTTTCGTTACAGTCCCTGGTCCCAATCCTGGACTCTCTCTACACCTGTCATATATTACAAGGTTGAGACCCCCAACCCCAGACCCTAAGACCTTAAGCTCCACGTCTTACGATTTCGGGCGCATGGTTTAGGGAGTTCAAGGCTGGGGGGTCTCTATCTGGTCTAGTCAGGTAGTTAAAAACAGGGTCGTGCGACCACAATTAAGCCAATGTCTCAAGCTAGTGTTCGGGCGCATAATGGCAGGAAATCACAGGTCTCGAGCTTACAGGCTATACAGGGAGAAGGGCTTTCGGGTCTCCATTCTCCGGAAGTCTAGGACAATTTGCGCACCCAGTGGCTAAAGTCCAACATTCGGTTTCTGGACTCCGAAGCTGTAGTATCTCTAGATATCTCCGATGGTATCAATACCTCGTGTTTCTTCCTGCAGGTAAAGGCGGCGCTCGCCCAGAGCCTCTTCCCTTGCACCTGGGAGGCAGTGAGAGGGATCGACACTTGAAGCCCTTATCCGAGCCTTATCCCGGAAGCTTAAGGGGTGATCGGGGTGTGCTTGGGTTTTTGGAGTCTCTGGTATGAGGAAGGCGGGAGGGGTTCCGGTTGTGAGACCTCCGGATCTGGAAGTATCGCACTGGAGCGTTTTAGAAGTCTGGGCTTCGTGCTCAAGTTTGTTTGGGGTCGTCTAAGCTTTGGTTTCCGGAGTTTTATTTGGTGGGGTTTCGGGTTCAGCGTTTGGAATTTAAGGTTTACATTGAGGTCTTGGGTTGCGATACCAAGCACTAAACCCTAAACCAGACCAAGGCAATGCGAGCATGATCCACTGCGGGATCTGGGACTGGTACCTGCGGGGCTATGCCAACGAGGTGCGAAAGCACCAAGAGCTGGAGTGGCAGGAGGACCGCACTTTGGGTGTTCCTTGAGAGTTTAGGTTTTCATTTTGGGGTGAGAATACAGAGTTAAACGAAAGGTTCGTAAACGTCAAATTCTGAGTATAGGTCTAAGCGTCTAACTTGTCTAAGCGGCTTATATGGTTCTGAAGGCCTTTTCAGGGATGTGGGTGTTGCAGGGTTGGTTTGGGGGGCAGCTGGGGCTGCAGGGTTTCAGGCATGTTGGCAAGTATGCTGGGTCTTTGGCTTGCAAGGTGTCGACGAGATAGGGACCCTTGGTTCTTGCTGTTGATGTGTCGTCTTTCATGGGATTTCGCAACCTCTAGTGTCGGCTGGAGAAGGCCTACAGCCTCCTTAAGGTTCCTGCAGCTGAAGTAGTAGCCAAAAATAAAGCCTTGAAGCCCATATTATTGGAAGTGCGGGCATGACCTGCAACGCGGCTACGGCTGCAGGCTTCTGCAGAAGACCCAACAGTTAAGGGCGGAGTTAGCGTGATCTGAAGGACCCTTCGAACTACTTCGGGGGCATGCACGTCGATGGCAAGCTCATGCTTGGCGATTCAAGCAGGACACCCGACTTAGATTGGCGCAGCCACTTTGTAAAAGCAGGGTGCACTTTAAACACGGAAGCCCCAAACCCCAAACCCTGTGCCCGACAAGTTGCAGGCTAGTGAGGGCGTCAGGGTTTCAGCTCCGGGCTTCGGGTTTCTCGAGCTCCAGTAGCATCCCAAACAATTACCAATACCATTTTTGGGGTTCCTCATGATAATCATAATATATTATACCCCTAAACAACGGCCCGCGCAGGGAAGCCGAAGACATCTGGGGCATCAGCCAGCCCAACACCACGCGGCTCAGCTGCGATCTGCAGTCCGCTCATGCCGGACTTCGCTAGAAGTACTCTGAGGAAAACGCTAGTGACTGCTAGTGACTGTTCGTGGTAATACTACTATCATCACGATGGTACTTAACAGCAATAAGTAAGAATCGTGAAGCTTTCATCATTAGCTGCTCTTGCGGCTGTTATTCTTAATTTGTCCCTGTCATGGCCGGTATTGCTGTTTCCGAGGGTAACATGACCATTAACATGACCATCGCACTACAGCTGAAACCTAGAGCCCAAGCCTCATACCGCATAACCTCAACCCAATTATCCTTAACAGCCCTTCTTTGTGGATCAAAGGATCAAAACGCGAGCACTAAGAAGCCTGGCCTCAACGCAGTTTCCTCTGACTTCCGACCAAACAGAGGCTGAACACGCCCGGCGCTGGCTGGTGGAACATCTGGGTGCTGCTGAGTCCAGTCGCCCAGCAAAGAGTCATAGAAGAGTCAGAGGACAGGACCCGAACCGTCCCCTTGCAACAGGACACGAGACTATATAGTATAGTACCCTAAATAGTAGGATCCTTGTTATAAGGACTCCAACATAAGGTACCCGTCATTTCGGAAACTCACATATGGGACCCTTTTACGATCCCATGTTCGTTTTGGGGAGTGCAAAACCCGTCAAAAGCCAGCGACTCGAGTTCCCTCCAAACCCTAAACCCTAAAGCCTCAAAATCCTAACCCGAACCTCCAAGGAGATCGGGAAGCAGACGTTGGTGCTGCTGGATCCCAGGACCCGAAGTTTCGTCTGTGAGTGTTTGTCTGAAATCATTGTTTTTTTCGTGACTTGTTGGGATCGGCAGGGACTTTATGGGTAAGTAATGGGTAGTTATAGGCAGTGTCCCGTTCGAAGACTTGCGTCACTCTTAACATAAAGGCTTGACAGGAGTGCTCGGCTTAGGGGTTAGGATTCAGGGTATTTTGGGGTTGAGAGTGTTTGGGTCGAGGACGAAACCTAGAAGTCCTGACTTAACCTTCGCCCTCAGCCCAGAACCTCGAAAAAACGTAGCTTGCGGTGCATAGCTTACAGCCCGAACCTTCTGATCCCCAAAATTCAGTGAGCTTCAGTCCCGAGAACAGCCCAGTCCCTCAACACATGGGTGTTCTTGAAACAGGACGTGGAATGTGACTGCCTTCCTGGAGCACGACCGGCCGCCGCTAGGGCCGAAATGGCTAAACTCAAGTGCCCAGCGCCCCAAGCCCTTCACCCTAGAAGCTCTTCACCCTGAATCCTAAACCCTGCGTACTGCCCCATCTTGTCGACTTTTGTATAAAATTCCTAAGACAAATATCGTCTATGCTTCCTTCCCTGCCTACCTACCTCGCCTACCTGCCTTCCGGCGACCGACCCATCGACCTTCCTCAAGCTACCGTCAGGTTCGTCTGGCCGGAGCGCGACCTGAAAGACCTGAAGGCGCAGCCCTGGAAGGCGCCCCTCTCGATGCCGCCCGGCAGAGGAGACTCAGGATCCTAAGCCTTAAACCCCGAACTGCCGAGGCCCAAACCCGAATAGTCTTGACCCCTTCAATAACATGCAAATCGTGAGCCCTGTAGCCGTCAAAAAAAAAGAACGAAACGCACAACCCATTTGTCAAAGCCCTTGAAAGGCTATAACAGCGTGTTGGTTGCCCTACGCGCCACTGAGAGCCATTTCTCCAAAGGCAGATGGGCGACCTCCTGGCTTTTCACAGCTTCGAGGTCGCCCATGGAGCCGGGCCACTCGGCCCTTCTAGGGCTTCTTAAGAGGTTGAAGGATTATAGGGCTTTAGGGGTTTAGGGTTTAGTTTAGGGTTTTTAGGATATGTAAGGAGTTTCCGGGGTGTAGGGCCGGTCTCAGATTCGATGTCTTGTGAGGCTTAAGCTAGCTTCTTGCGCATCCGAAGAGTTTCGTGAGGCAGCTCACGGACGTTGACAGCGACGCGGTCCGCCTCAGCCTCGATGCACGTTTCTCGGCCAATCACTGTTGTGATGAGTTTCTGTGGCTCCTGGTGCGGCATCGCTAACGATCTGTGCCTGATACTGCTGCATTTGGTGTTCTTCTTATGTAGTACTTCATAGCCCCCTTGCTTTATGCGCCATCCTGTGCCACCTCGTTCGTCCATGCGAAGACGGTGCGTTGAATTCTTATAGCGTAGGCTTGTATGTACGCAAATCCATCCGACAGATCTTGTTCTCAACACTTCGACATTTTCTGTACCTGTCAAGGCTGCCACTGCGCGGAATTTTCCAACCGGCCGGTTCGAACCCGCCGGGGCGGCTCAGCTGGACGAACGCGCGGGCATAGTTGGGGGGTTGAAGATTTCAGGTCTGCAGTTCCAGGACGACCTCGATGAATGATACAGACGACAGCCAGGAATACAGATTCAGTAGAAGCTCAGAAGTAGCCCCTCCGTGAAGAAACAAATCTGAAACCTTGGCCCAAATCCGCTACACCAAGTCTTAGCGCTGCTTTCGTTCTCAAAAGTGGGGGAAGAGGGGTCCTGCGGCTTGGAGGCGAGATTTGTGCTCCGGTCTGGTTCTACGGAGGCGGGCCCATGAACCGTCGATTTCTAGCATTAAAGGGGTGGGGTCAGCAGTTTCGTGCTGGACCTTGCTGAGAGCTTCTTCCGAGTGCTGCTTACGTATCTGAGCATCATCGCAAATCAAAAACATGCACACCTGTTTTCACAAAGCTGCGGGATGGTTCCAAGGCCCCAGAAGATCTTGCACATCGCCGAAGGTTGATTCGGCGATTCTCCTAAGCCCTAAACCCTGTTTCCGAAACAATACGCCCTAAAATTTTGACCCTTGAATCCGAAAGCCTGTGCGCTTTCTGGCGGATTGGGTTTAGAGCGGCTTTCTTCGCCTGGCTACCAACAGCGAGCCCGAACACTTGACCCCTGGACCCAAATACTTCAAACAAGAATTTGCCGTGCGGTTTGGGGCTTTGTGGCTCTCCAGTGTAGGGCTCGAGAGGCACATGTTGCGATGAGCTCTGCATAGTGACACATTTGCATGTGCACGGAGGGGGTTGAAGCAATGAGTGCAGTGCGCCCTTGGTGGCAGGGCAAGCTCAACATGGCTGCCAGAGGAGTCTGGGATGTCTCAGAAGCACGCTATTTCGATGATTTTATGATGCTGTGTCCTGCTACTGTAGCGTCTGCTTTCGGAATTGTTCAGGGTGCAGGGATTGTGGTGAAGATCTCTCGAGACGCAATTCGCAGGGCAGCCGCTGCATGTTCTGGGCTTTCTGCACTGCCTTTAAACCTAAACCCTAAGCCCTACACACTAAGCCCTAAACCTTAAACTCTAAACCCAAACCCTAAACCCTACACCCTAAGCGCTAAACATAAAACTCTAAACCCAAACACTCAATCCTACACCCTAAGCCCTAGACCTTAAACTCTAAACCTAAACCCCAAACCTAAGCCTTAAACCCTAAACTGTGAGCTGCAGGATCGGCTCCGACGAGCCCTGGTGCGTCATCTACAGACAGGCCGACGAGGCATCGAACTTCCGAGGTTTCGAAGAGCCGGAAGCCGAGAGTTGATTTTCCGAAGCCCTGGGTCTCAAAGTGATAAGTCCAAATCTCCAGCCACACTGCTTGGAGGCTTCGTATATTGATAACGCGACGAGGGCCATACCTTTTGTGCCGCTTTAGGAAGCAAGCCAGCATGTGTTTGGGTTAGAATAGAAGTGCTCCGTGGGTAGCAGGACCCAGGGTTTCATGCCTGCTTCTCTGACCCAAGCTAGGCTGTGCACATGCCAGCATCCCATATCGAAACCAGCGGAGGCGGGGGCAGGCTGCATTCTGAAGAATGACACGCTCTGCGCCTACCCTTGCATCTTGGGCTAAAAGCTTGTGGGCTTCCCCGAAGAAGCTCCGAAGCACCAAACCCTAAACCCTATTTCGGGTTCAAGGTTCAGACTTTAGGGTTGAGAGTTTAGGGTTTCGGGTTTAGAGAGCAGGGTTTAGGGTTTAGGGTTTAGGGTTTAGGGTTTAGGGTTTAGGGTTTAGGGTTTAGTAGGAACTATGCAGGTCTCGCTTAGAAGGGGCCGCTGACCTTCCCAGGTGATGCCGAAGAAGAATGCTCGCTCCAGTCCTTCGATTACTGCGGATGACGGGCAAAAAGTTGGCCCGCTGTAGGGGGCCACAGTACCATATGGTTTAGGGTTTCAGGTTTGGGGTTTAGGGTCTAGGTACTGGGGGTTAAGGTTTAGGAACTGGGTTTAGGGGTCTGAAGAATCAGTAGCTACGTTCCCGTCTGGCCCGCTGTTACTTTACGTTTACGAACCCCTAATCTGTCCAGGGTTCAACCCCGCACCTCCACTGACACGGGTTTGTGGATCACTCCGGTGGAAGCTTCACTTTGGGCAGATTGTTCGTTGAGGTAAGGTGCCAATGTTCACCGGTTTCCACATTCATTGTCAGAGTTAGGGACCTGCCGTGCAGTTGCTTAGATTTCCCGGAGCAGCCCAGGTTCCCAAACATAAGTTACAAATCACACAGCCCTTTTGACTACAGTCACTTACCGACCTACCACAAAGCTTCGAGGGAATTCGCTTCCTGAGCCGGGTCTTCGGAGCGAGCCGTCGGAGACCCTCAGCCCGGCCCCGAATTCCCAAAAGCTTCCCAGCCGCCGAACCTTGGCAAACCTGAAATAGTCAGCCAGGCGCCTCCATGCAGCAAGGGAGGCGTTTTGGGAATGCTTTTGCTGCCGGGAGAGGGTGGGAACGAGTTTTGGCTTTGGAGTTCAGGGTCTAGGACGAGCTTTGCGTCCTTGGTGGTTCATTCTAGGCTTCTTGCCTGGATGAGTTGCATCGCGATTGCAGAGGACGATGGTTAGCAACTAGCGAAGGAATCTACCTGATAACGGCTGCAGTTACGGTTCGGATTGTAGAGGAAGGTGGGAGCAAGGCTGGGTGAGGCTCTCTAAACTAGACCAGCCCTGGTGCAACTAGATCCTGACACCCCGGCAAAAGCCTCAGGACTCTGAACCTCTACACTACTAGACCTAAGACTCCAAACGCTGAACCCTAGCATCCTCAATAGTATACATCCCTCCTAAACCCTAAACCCCTAAGCCCCCAAAGTCACAGACCCCTCAACCTTAAACCCTACCTTAACCCCAAGTAACTTACCTTTTTAAGGACTTATATAAAGAAATCATATCAGGGAACCTTAAAACGGCAGGTTCCTAAGGGTCCAGGTAAACCCTGAAACCCCCTCCACCGAGCCGGCTTGGGCTCTCGCAGGCGCTCCGGGCATCGTCCTCTTTTGGCCCGGCGTCCCCTGAGGACTGCAGGTTTAGGGGCCTTAGTCTTCAGGGGCTTTAGGACTTTAGGGGGTTTTTACGTAGTCGGGGGCTTAGGGGTTTACAAGGTCTTTAGGTTGAGGGGTTTGGATGTGCAGGGATTTTGGCAGTTTGGGGGCTTTCGGTTTACAAGTCTCGGCTTTTTTGCGATTTCTGTCCACTCTGTGTTGTGGGGTCAGGGACAAGTATGCAGTTGAAAATCCTGCTCCCCAAAACTTAGGATTTAGGGTGGCAGGCTTAGAGGCCACTAGAATCCTGCACCTTAGCACCTTAGATCCCAAGCCTCTAAACCCGAAGCCCTAAACTGCCTAGGCCCTAGACCGAGGAGCATCAATCCTGGCTCAACCTCCGAAACACCTTCCTGGATGTGGAGGCAGAGGCGGGCCCTTGCCACAACGACCTCCCGGAACCCCCCCCCCCCCCCCAAACCTCCCAAAACACAGGGTCCAAGAAGCCCAAGCCCAGTAACACAATGCCCAAGACCCGGAAACCATAAACGAGTCCGGACCCCGAAGTCATGGCACCATAGTACGGTTGACATCTTAAGAGCCAAGCAAGTCTTGAAAACGATTCCCTCCCAGGCTCTCACAGGAACTCCAGAGTTCTTCGCGGTGAACCCTATTAGGAGCCATATGAGGCATTGAACCCTGGCCTTATTCATGCTTTACATGAACCCCTGCGAGCCCCCTTAACACCCCACCCCGAACTGTAAGCCGGGCTTAGGGTTTATAAAGGTGTAGGGTTTAGGATGCGAAAGGGCTTCCAGTTTAAGCAGGCTTAGGGATTTAGGGTTGAAGCCGGTTTACTAAACCCTGAAACCCCTAAACGCTCTCCTTTCAACAGGCCGGGATGTCGCGGGAGCTGCGGGACAAGCGCCTTGTGGGTGGCCCCAGTCAGCCTCACATGGAGGTACTGGGTAGGTAGCCTAGGGGTCTGTTGAGGTTTGAGGCTGTTCGTTTCGTAGGGTTTCAGGTGTAGGCCTTGTGGGTTGCGGACGCAGGCATAGCACTATTGTATCCTGCGTACTAGATAGGGTCTTGCGATTTCGCTTGTTTTCTGGAACTGCCATTTCTTCTGGACCCGCCCTCGTGCCATGTTTGCTGTCTGTTGACTTTGCCTTGAGCCCTGAGTCCCGGAGTCGCAGAACCCTGATCACCTGAGCCAATTCGTTCAGACATTTGTTTGTCTAAAGCTAAAGCAGCTAACGGTTTTCAAGGTAGCGTTTATATAAGGTTTAGGGTTGGCAAAGCTTGCAAAGCTGTCACTTTCAGGCCCAACAGACCCCATCTTTGCAGACATAACTCCAGGCCCAAGCGGAGCAAGCGCACGCCGCGCAGCGCCGAAAGGTGGCAGAGCGTTGGCAGTGCGCTCGGACATTTGATCTTAGTGTTTTGAGGAGTTGGGACAGGGCCGTGTAAACCAGCTCCTCTCTTCGTGTATTTGTGAAACCACTTCAACACTTCATTTTTCCGAAGCTCGAACTCTTGAATCTTGCATGGAGTTTCATTGAACCACGCGAGAGAAGAGCAAACCTCTGATGCCTGTGAATTTGTGATCCGTTGGTTTACTGCTTGTTTTTGTTCTCGTTCCTGAGTGTGTAGTTTTAGTGTAGTTGTTGATCCTGCTTTTCTGAGGCAGCAAAGCATCGAGGCACATGCGAACCCAAAGCCCCTAATGCATCCTGCTCCCTGCATCCCAAAACTTAGCCCTCAAATCCGCCTCATATCCGAAACGTCTTTGAACCCTGCAGACCCCCTGGAAATTGTAAGCCCTGAGCCCTAAACCTTTGTAAGACCTGCGCTTTACAACACAGAAAAATGCGAAACGCGATTTCTACAACAGAGGAATCGCCAGCAGATGGCCCGCGAGGATGACCTCGAGGCCTGTTGACAGATGGAAAAATTACTGCCTAGCATTGCCTGGCCGGTTTGCACAGGGCTTCAAGGTGGAGAGTTAAGGCTGTAGGGTTTCAGGGTGTGCACGGGTTAAGCCATCGCTCTTCTTTAGAGAAAGACTTTGATTTCGAGAATGCGCCGTTCCCCATATTAGTCAAACCATCAGGTTGGGCGCCGCGGTCCGATGCTGAAGCCTGAGTTTCCCGTTCCGTGCGCTTTGTGGAGGCTCCAGAAGCTTTGGGGTGCACCCTGAAACGCGAACTACCATGACCTACTTTATTGCAGGATTCTTTGTCAGTCCATCTGCTCGATTGAATTTCAAACTACCCAAGCACATTGCAGCCCTACACAAAAAATCCGAAACCCTAAACCCAAACACAAGCCTTCCGTCGCAGCTCTTCCTTGAGGTCCCCGCTCCCGTGCGCCTCGCGCGCACGACGCCTTCTCAGCGAGTTGGCCGTCGCAGAGAAAGGCGGATCCGAATATCCGGCTCGGTGCCAAATGTGGGTTGGGTTTTGCAGAGCTTCTATTCTCGAAATTAAGGATTCCTCAAAGCAGGGTTGTTGCTAGGTGTCGTTTATCGGGGACCTATGGGGGTTTGGGCTGCTCGGAGTTCCAATCGTTGTCTCGGGTTCCTATTCGACCTATTCCTTTCGCTCAAAGGGTTTAGGGAAAAACAGTGTTAGAGTTTAAAGTTTAAAGGTTTCAAGGAGTAGGGTTTAGGGTTTTGGGGTAAAACAGGTGTCCACGGTTTTGAGGTGCACAGGCAGCAGAAAGACTTGCGAGGTTACTAGAGACTTGTGCGCACAGCGGAACGTCCAGTCGACTTCTTCCTGGGGTTTGGGGTTCGGGGTTTGGTAGGTCACAATTTGAGACAATTTATCATGTCGTTGATGGTCCAAGAGTGTTACTTGTACCGATTCCCTAAGCAATGTTGACCGCCGTTTCCCTAGTACCTACAGTCAGTTTAGGGTGTCAACAAAGTACCACATGCTAAACGTGCAGCCGAGAGGCCTCAGCGAATCGGCTGCTGCAAAACGAGCTGCTGCCGGCTGGGGCCTCTGTCGTGCAGCCTGTGTTCATGGTTTGCTGGATGAGGATTCTTGTTGGGCTTAGGGGTTGGCGATGGATGAAGCTTATTGGTTTTGGAGATTTAGGTTTAGAGTTTTGCGGGTGGGCTGCAACAAGGTCAGCAATTAGGATGAAAGGTACTGAAAGGGCATCAAAGGCCTTTAATCCCGAAGCCCCAAACCCTTGCGGATTCTCAGGCCGCAATGTGAATCTTACCGGCAAGCAGTCATGCAGCGAGTCGAGTGCAGCAAGGAAGCCCAAGCAAAGGCGTACTGCTTCTCTTTGATGTTGGGGGTTTCGAGGGTTTTGGCGTGTAGGATTGGATGTTTGGAGCTTAGGGCTTGAGGCATCGTTCCTAGAGGAGAGATGAGGTTTTGGCTGCTGCACTCACACTCGCAAGCCAATTTGGACCCATACTTCGGCCCAGAATCCGAAGCCGTGGCTGCGGATGTGGAGAAAAAGGGCTGGTCCCCAATGCTAGATCCAAGACTTCAAGAATCTCAGAAGGCGGGGGTGAGGAACGTCATGAGGCAGGATTTGTATTTTCGCCCGGCTGGGTGTGCCAGGTTCAACATGGCCCATGCTCATGTGCCGCCTGTGAAGTGTCAGTTGTCTGTTGTAACACCGTTTCAAGTAATCAGTGCATCGCGCAGGACAGCTTGCAGCTTGGGCATGTGGAAGTAAGATCGGGGCTTCGTAATATTCCCCGATATCCCTAGATAGCTATAGTATGTCAACCGTATATGATTGCCCGCAACAATATTCTAATGATTCTGGCTCCTCTATGAAGCCGTGAGTCTGTTAGACACCAGCTACCGTTGGCAACCCAGGGACTGCAGGG